AATTGCATACAAAACAGAAATCAGTGAGATATTGAGGCACATCATTTTCTTTTTTTATTTTCGGTCTTGGTATAGTAAGTCAGTACAGTGACTTTAATTCTTAAAAAATGTGGAAATAAAGGAAAGTATTTCATGCTGTGTTGGAACTTCGATCTGGCACAGTATAATGAGATTTTTTTTTTGTTCTATCTGTGTTTTTTATGTACTTGTGATTTAACATTTATATAATTTAATTTTTGCATAAGATTACTTCATGTTCTAAGAAAGAGAAACTGTAGTTGGAATATATACATAGAAGTGGATTAACCATTAGAGAGGAAACCATTGGTTATTGGATTAACCAATAGAGAAGAAATAAGAAGAATGGGAAAAGACTGAGGAGATAGCAAGATCCTATGTGACATAATTAACAATTAATGGTGGTTTGTTGTGTGTGTGTGTGTGTGTGTGTGTGTGTGTGTGTGTGTGTGTGTGTGTGTGTGTGTGTGTGTGTGTGTGTGTGTGTGTGTGTGTGTGTGTGTGTGTTTACATAAGTTAGGCATACAGATACATCTAATATATACAGTATATAATTACTGTATTGTTTGTTTAGACATCTATTTGTTTGTGATAATTTTTTTCAAATTGAAAAACAATGTTAGTGAGTTCCTAACAGCAAACCAGCTTGTTAAGTAGTACTAGTGTAACTAGTATAAGGTATGTAACAAGACTGAGTTATTCTTGCACATTCTTCAAGTCTACCGAGAAGTCCCTGTAGATTCATGTTGCTTCGCTATTCTTTAGAAGGGAATGTCCAAACTCCATGACACTTCAGTGGTTTCCAGTTGATGACATGCCATCCTGTTGATGACATGTCATGCCACGTAGTCATGCAGTCTACAAGTAAGGGTGACAGTTACCCCTGCTGTCGCGATATGTGCCGTAGGTGCAGACGCATGCCCCCTGGTCCTCGTCCCACTCGGAGAGGTATGGGCACTGGCACACACCTCTGCGGAACACCTTCCCATCAGGGCACACTGGGCTGGTGGCATCTCTCCTTCCTGTGCACAGAAGACAGGAGGGAAGACAGAGAGAGAGAGAGAGAAAAAAAATTATGTTGTAATATTGAGATGGGTTTTGGATAGATATCATCCTTGCTATCTAGTTAGTTCCTACTGTTTATTGGTATTATTTGATATTTTTTTTCTAATATTTTATAATTCAGTTGGTTAGTGGTTTGCTTTATAGGGCATGAGTTGTATACTAATAAGAAATGCATTTAATAATTTTGTTTATGTTAGTATAATTTTATCTTACCAGCCTGGTGTTTTGTGATCGTGGTGATAAATACTGAAAGTATTTTAATTTCCGTTCATTACATATGGACTTTCATGTTTTAGGGATGGCTATAAAGATTTTGATTCATGTATCTTGAAGCGCTTTTTGCTTATCAAAATTTATTTTAGATTGAGGTAGAACGAAGCTTCGAGCAAAAAGGGAAATTTCAGATTTGCAGTCTTCTGATCTACAAGCAATTACCCTTGATTACGCTTCTTTTATATCCAATACATTTGCTTAAAGTCATAATTGGGTTGCACGAAAAAGCAGGGGAACACGTGACCATCGCCTGAGCGGGCGAGCTCACCCCGGTGGCTGGACTGGCCTGGTTTTCTCGCGACGTCGTACGACGTGCCGATGGCCTGGTAGGGCCTCCAGTGGCGGGTCCTGGCCAGGCTCTGGATCATTTCCCCGGTGAGCTTGGGCGGCAGGGCGTACAGGGAGTTGCCCTCCCGGTCCGCCAGAGGGTAGATCTGGGCCGAGGCGCGGGGCTTGGCCGCGTTCCTCCCCGAGGAGCCGCCGCCGAGGGGGTCACTCCACACGGCCTCCATCGCGAGGGCCAGCAGGGTTACCGTCAGCCATATTCTGAGGACGAGGAGTGGGAGGTTCGCTAGGGGTTAATGTGCTGCGGGTTTGTTCATGGGGTTCATATGATTAATAGGAATACTACATAGCCGGTGTTATGGGTTAGACGATACTTCAAGTACTTAAAATGTAATTGAATTGGTTCAGGTCATACTCATACTCTCTCTCTCTCTCTCTCTCTCTCTCTCTCTCTCTCTCTCTCTCTCTCTCTCTCTCTCTCTCTCTCTCTCTCTCTCTCTCTCTCTCTCTCTCTCTCTCTCTCACTCACACTCTCACACTCACGGCCCTGACACCAACAGCCGCGTGCAGGTGGCGTCTCTCCGGTTATACTCAATTGCTTCATTACTCGCATTCTACGTCGTCCCGGGTTGATGGGCGATCCGTTTTTTTTTTCTTTTCATTTCTTTTCATTCTGTTTCGGCCTCTGTTTGTTATCGATGCTTGATATAAAGGCCTGTTCGGACTTCTATCGGGTGTGGTTATGTGGTTAGACTTGATATAAATGGGTGGATATGGACTAGGTTTCTGTTATTTCGGTATTTCTCTCTCTCTCTCTCTCTCTCTCTCTCTCTCTCTCTCTCTCTCTCTCTCTCTCTCT